AAACCAGGTCACCTTGGGACTAACGTTTTGTTCAATTTTATTTCAATAATTCACTTGCGCATAGGGGTCTTCAGCAGTGGGAGGAAACTGGACAAAAACCACAAAGTTGGAAAGATGACCCTACTCTTTGTCACGTACAACCGGGGAATCGAAACCACGCCAGATGACTCAATGAAAGATCTTATGATACAATCAAACGTGCTAACCACTGTAATAAAGATATAGCGTGTTAGTCTCAATGTGACCTACCAGTAGTTCTTATTTCTGTTTCTACCCAAATTAAATCCTTGAATTCTTATCTGTTGAAAGACAAGTAATACACAGGTGGGTGAGAAAGGCGGACATTGTAAACTTCAGATTTATCTAATCTTGCATAAGCTTTATATCTTTATCACATGTAATATAGTGGGTTGGATGGGGGGGGGGGGAGAGTAGTCTAATGGGGGGGGAGTAAGACATAGCTTGCTAACCCTGAGGTCCCATGTTCGAGCCTTGGTCAAGAAAGTTCATCAGGATTTTCCGGCGTGGCTCACCCTTGTAAGTGGTATAGTCATTTGGATGGGATGAAAAACTGAGGTCCCGTGCACACCCTTGACTGGGAGGAAACTGGACAAAAACCACGAAGTTGGAAAGGTGACCCTACTCTTTGTCACGACAACCGGGGAATCGAAACCACGCCAGATGACTCAATGAAAGATCTTATGATACAATCAAACGTGCTAACCACTGTAATAAAGATATAGCGTGTTAGTCTCAATATGACCTACCAGTAGTTCTTATTTCTGTTTCTACCCAAATTAAATCCTTGAATTCTTATCTGTTGAAAGACAAGTAATACACAGGTGGGTGAGAAAGGCGGACATTGTAAACTTCAGATTTATCTAATCTTGCATAAGCTTTATATCTTTATCACATGTAATATAGTGGGTTGGATGGGGGGGGGGAGAGTAGTCTAATGGGGGGGGAGTAAGACATAGCTTACTAACCCTTAGGTCCCATGTTCGAGCCTTGGTCAAGAAAGTTCATCAGGATTTTCCGGCGTGGCTCACCCTTGTAAGTGGTATAGTCATTTGGATGGGAAGAAAAACTGAGGTCCCGTGCACACCCTTGACTGGGAAAAATTTCCCCTCATAGCACATTGCATGGTGTATGCCCGTCTTCATTAGCCTAGTTGGAGTAGAAAAGTAGGAAGTTAAACCCCATTTCATTTCATTCATTCATTCTAATATGTGTGCTTTAGACCATAAGGCCTGTTATTCAGTCAAGTGACACAGATTTGATCCCAAGATTGTATGTGACAAGGAGTAGGGTCACCTGCTCAACCTCATGGTGTTTTCTCTGGGTCATCCATTTTTCTTCTACTGCTAAAGACCCCAACGCGCAAACAAATTATTTAAATAAAACTTTAACACATGTTAGTCCTGAAATGACCTAGTAAGGTCCTAGTTTGTGTCAAGTGGACATTAGTTGAACTCTCTCTCTCTCTTTCTCTCTCTCTCTTAGTAGTAGACTGTACTTCTTGACAAACAAATTATCCTTGAAGATTATTCATTGAACCAAAAATAAACTTGTCTGTGCTGAAGAAAAACTTGATTTACCCCACATCGAACAAGCTGACGCGTTTAGACACCAAACCAGTTTTCACTGGCATTATTTAAATTTTTTATGTCTGAACAGAGAAGATGAGTGTAATCCTAACTTGTCATGTTTAGCTATTTACAGGTTTAGGTTGCTACAACACATGCCGACTACTTCTTGTACGGTAGTCAGAAAACACGGTTTATAGTTTTACGTTACTCATTGTGAGTCCTGGTTGACATTTGCTGAAATTTCCAAAAGATCTGTTTTCGAAAAGTAGCTAATTAAATGGAATAAATTAAGAATAGATAAAAAAGAATTATTGATAAACACAACTTTATGGATTTACATGTACTACTTCTTCATTTATTATATGCACCACTTCAATAAATCCTCCTGCGGCATGGGGGGGTTGGATGGCTGAATGGTTAGCGTGCGCGCGCTGTCATTGAGTCAACTGGCGTGGTTTCGAATCCCCGGTTGTACGTGACAAGGAGTAGTGTCGCCTGTCCAACCTCGTGGGTTTTCTCCGGGTCCTCCAGTTTCCTCCCACTGCTAAAGACCCCTATGCGCAAGCGAATTATTGAAATAAAATTAAACCATATGTTAGTCCCGAAATGACCTAGTTTGTGTCGAGTGGACATTAAACCCCATTTCTCTCTCTCTCCCTCCTGCGGCATGGTGCAGGACGGAGGGCCTGACAAGGACAACTGTCTAGTCGTTCAGATGGGACGAAAAACCGAGGTCCCGTGTACACATTGGCAGCATGTAAAAGATCCCTTGACAGTTGGAATTTGATATAAGAGTAGGTTGTAGTGCTGCTGTCCAGGCAAAATTTTCCTCATAGCACACTGTATGGCGTATGTCCGTCTTCATTAGCCCATTCGGAGCAGAACAGTAGGAAGTTAAACCCCCATTTCATTTCGTGCAGCATGGAATTTAAATTGACACAAAGCAAAAGAATTTAAATAGTCAATCCCAACTGTGCATTTTTTGGACAATGTCTAAATTAACAAAACTTGATCAATGCTAAACTATACTCCGATTGGTAATTTAACATTACTGGTATTATCTCCCAGCTCCGTTTCAGTCCGATAAAATAATAGGCCCATCAACAGATTATCCCGAGGTTGCACTGGTTTGTTTATATCTTCTACACAGGATGTCAAATTTTGTTAAATTTTCAGATCATCAAATTCTTGTAAATATTAAATGGAATTGAACCATGTTTGGCCTGATATTCCTGATAATCAACAACTTTAATAACACATTATTTATATCAAAACAATTCAAAACAAATTACATGGCTGGAGCTGATATTCCTTATATCAAAATAATTCAAAACAAATTACATGACTGGAGCTGATATTCCTGATATCAAAACAATTCAAAACAAATTACATGACTGGAGCTGATATTCCTGTGTTATAGATCATCATGAATATCTAGAAGGATTAATTGTATAAGATTATATTAATTATAATATTTATCTATCAGTCTGTTTAACCGTGGTTTATCTTGTATATCGCAGATTGGTAAATGTCAGATACTATAACACATGGTATATCTTATAATACCCAGAAAACAGTTTATAACCACACAGAATGGTTAAAGCTTGGTCCATTATAGTCATACAACGGTTTTAAAAACATGTCTAAAATAGCCACAGAATGGTTAAAACTTTTTGAATATAGCCAGAGAAAGGCTCAAACCTAGTCCATGTATAGTCACAGAATGGCTAATACTTTGTCCATTATAGTCACAGAATCGGTAATACTTTGTCCATTATAGTCACAGAATCGGTAATACTTTGTCCATGAGAGTCACAGAATTGCCAATACTTTGTCCATGAGAGTCACAGAATGGCTAAAACTTGGTCTATTACAGCCAGAGAATGGCTAAAACTTGTGTTCAAAGGAGCCAAATATTAAATCATTAATTTAATTCCTATGGAAGAACTTTAGCAAAACAACTAAAATAAGGAAATTTGAAAAATACTAAACTAAGTGTGAAAAATTCTGATTACTTGAAATTATTTGTAAAAATATTTTGTGCTAAATAAAGCAAAAATACTTAAAAAGCCTCTTCTCTTTTTTTCTTAGCTTTTTCATTTAGGTTTTTATATACTGGTAAGTAAAACTGAGGTTTCCATCCAAATCCATGAAGTTAAATTATCAATATGAATACATGGATACAATGGATGAATAAAATGATAACTGGATGAATGTAGGCTTAACCTACCAATATTAAACCTTGTAATATACATTATATTGCTACATATTTTCACACCTGTTTTTAGAATATATTATGTTGTACTGTGGGTGTAAAGTACAGTAATAATATGTTTAAATATTTACACAATGTTTGTATGTGTATTACATCCCTTAACAAATACACAAAACTTGTTAATATAAATGTTTATATGGGTATTACATTAATTAACCAAAATATTTTAATTCATCTATTATTTGATGATTAAACATTACAGATATAGACGAAGGTGGGGGGAAGTTAGGTACTTTAATTTGCAAGCCTCATAGTGCACCCTGGCAACTCCCCTGTACTCCGCTGCATTGATAATTTAACAATACATGTACAGTAGTATTAACAAATCTTATTATTATACATGTACTAAGCTAACCCAGTGCAGGGATTTCATGGATTTACAAATAATATTTGGAAGAATTTATGGAATCAGAGCTTATTTTAATCTCTGCCTTCCTTTTAGTTAACATGACAAAGTTTCATTCACTTGTAACAAGCTGTGTTACACATGAAACTTTTCAACAATTTCTTTAAAATGTAAAAAATTCAGATTCTCAAGAAGTGAAGTCTTAATAGATGTGTGGTATATGTAGGCCTACTGCATGCTATATATTAGTAAGAAAAATTGGTATAAATATGTGTGTATGATTTACTCATGTATAAGGGTGAGGGCTGGGATATTGGTCAAAGATTAGTGAGTATTATACACTATAACAACTATGGTATATCTAGGAACATGTGTGATTTATGGGAGTCTAATGCATGATTAATCCATATAAAAACAGTTTTTTAATTGAATATAGTTTTATGCACAGTTGCAAGTTATTTTGTCTTGGCATTGTGTGATATATTGATGTGTATTAGATAAGACACCTATCATAAATATCGTATTAATATACTCAACAGAATATATTTTTCTGAAGTTAGGCAATTTTGATTTAGTGTGGTATACGTGTGTGAATATTGTTTTTTTAATGTATGATAGACGGTAGTACATTGTAATATAAGTATGCAAACTTTGTATATAAAAGTTGTGTATAGTTATGTATTGTGTATTATAACGTGGACTATGTATATTTATTTTGAAACAGTGTGTTTAATTGTATATAAATATTGGACCAGTGTCCACTACATACTACTATAGTATAAAGACTGACCTGAGAAACTGTTATCCCGTTGACAGTGGCTAACTGTAAACAAGCCCAATAGAAGGGCCGGCACGACGACCCTGTAAAAAGAAAAGAACACTAATATAATCCCGTTACATATAGAAATCCGTTTATTTATAGGCTAAATTCAAAATCCTGTATTCCGTACCTGTGAAGCATCATGTTTCCTCTCTAACAACTGAAAACACACACACGCACAAAACTTTCTCCTACTTTTTATCGCAACCACATAGCATCGTACGGTCCTCACAGTTAGTCGCTTCGTTCACATTAACGCCTAAACGTCGACTGGCGAGAAACATGTGTATAGAAGTGTGGACTCTACCATTAAAACCTGTCTACAGGGGGGAACAGATAGTACATGACGTAAGACAACTTGTTTAAATAAACAGTTTAGAAATAAATAATCACTACCTGTTCTCCTTGTATATCGACCCGTCCAAAAGATGTTTTAGAATGTCCCGTTGTCTCTCGGCATCGGATTTCGTTAAAGTTGCGATGCATGACAGAAACCACCCCTTCCCCTGTGTCTTGTGCTCTAGACCCTGTAAAGAAGTATTCACCCATTATAAGTTATTTTATACCTACCATGTTTAAATATGTTAGATATACACAACGACTTGTTGAAACACTTTGTAAAGATTTATACAGATAAAAAAATAGAGTAGACTCTATTATAATGGTAGTTCATTCATGTATACCTGAAATTTACCTTTACCGTACAAAATCGCAAAGGCTAGCAATTCGTTTGAATATCATTTATTTAATTAATTTAATTAATAAATTTCAAATTTATATTTTGTTAATTACTGAGAGCCGTGGAGGCTCAACGCGTAGGCTGTGGCGGTGGCTAACTATGTCTCGGGCAGGGGCGTGGTGACCCATGATTTTGCATGAGGAACAAGATACCGTCCGCCCAGTAAAACAAAATTTATATGTGTACGGAGGAGATGTGTGTCCTCCCCAGGGGCGTGCTGGCCCCGAAGGGGCCCGGCAGGACGGGGCCTGAAGGGGCCCGTCGGTCGCCGAAGGCGCGCAGCTGATAGGGGGGTCTGCGGGGGTTCTCCCCCCAGAAAATTTTTCAAATTTGACAAATTTGCAAGCACTTCTGGGAGAAATCTAGGTATCATATTTTCCAAATTTATGCTGCTATTTTGACTATAAGACATACTACTGTACTACACAAGACACTCATGACAGGTCTGCTTAATATAATGCTAATACAATGTATTTCTATCCAAATAATAAATTTTTAATCAAAGACCATTTCACCTTAAGGTGGCAGACATTTGCACGTCAGCATAATATATTTTACTAATCGTTGTGTATGTATGATTTTTCGCGTGCGCACTCTCAATTTTTTGAGGGGATTCCGCGTGAAAATTAGAGCTCTCAGGGGGACCCGCTTATACGGGTGGACTGATAAGGATGACATCGATGCGACTAAATGAGCCACAAATATTAACTTTTTTCCTCCGACAAATTAAATTCTAAAACATTTTTTTTTATGTATTAGAAAGATAAAGACGTTTGAAGTATTTGTAGGTAAACATCATTTCCTATTTTAGTATAAATGGGTATTAAAATGAGTAAAAGGCGCCATTTTGCTCGAATCAGTAACGTCTTATGTAAACAATGCACGCGCCATTGAGCCAATGATTGATGCCGCGTGATATGACGTCATGTGTTGAAGGCAGTCACCTTCTACAGAGATATTAGAAGACTTTCGTAATGCTTGGTGAAACAGATTGATAGTCGATGTGTAGCATATCTGACCCACGGTATATGTTTGACACTGGTTAAGCATTATAATTATCATTATAATGTTGAAAACCGCATTGAAACCCCGTGATTGTTTGTCATTTGCGAGGGGGCACAAACACTCAAGGTGGCGCAAAAACTCAAAACCATGACGCCCCTCTCACTTAGCCCCTGGTCTCGGGGTTCGAACTCGGATGTAGCCGAGATATTTCCTCTGAATTTCCCAGTCTGGTTTCTCCTTGTAAATGCTGCAGGACGGAGACCTGGCAAAGAAAGCTGTCTAGTCGTTCGGATAGGACGAAAACCCGAGGTCTCCTTTCTACTATTGGCAGCCTGACAGTAAGAAATCGAGATTAGACAAGATTGTAGCGCCAACATCCGGGCAAAGATTCGCCGTATAGTACATTGCATGGCGTATGCTCGTCTTTAATTCTTTGAAGAAAATTCAGATCTTTTAAAACACATTTCATTCTAGATCCGTCGATTAAATGTAACATGTCAATTAATCGTAATATAACTAATGTCACAATTTATTACAACATATTATTACAATTTATTACAACATGTTACCACAAATTACAATTTATTACAAATATTAACACGACACATCAATTAAATGTAACATTAGTGTTAGAGGCAATCGTGTGGTATAATATCGGGATTTTCCGACATGGTTAATGTCGGGATTTTCCGACAAGGTTTCCCCTTGTCAGTGATGCAGGACGGGGGGGGGGGGGCTGACAAGGATAGCTATCGAGTCGTACGGATGGGACGAAAAACCGAGGTCCCGTGTATAAATTGGCGTGCACGTAAAAGATCCCCTGGCAGTTGGAATTCAATATAAGAGTAGGCCATATAGTGCCGCTGCCCGGACAAAATTTCCCTCATAGCACACTGTATGGCATATGTGTCCATCTTCATTAGCCCAGTATAGGAGCAGAACAGTAGGACGTTAAACCCCATTTCATTTCATTTCAAAATCTGTATTGCACACTATTAGAAGTTCATATTATTATAAACGTTGTGCTTTTAGTGTAGTATATAGGAATATAAACTTATCTGTACACCCACGTAAAATTAGTTACTCAGTTGAATATATTTTTCTGCACAGTTGCATTATCTCGTCTCAGCCCTGTGTGATTTATCGCTGTGTATTACTTGTTTTGTGTGACATTTCCCTGTAGAATATAGGATATACGTCCCACTCACCATTTTCATAAAAGTTTTTTTTTATGAATTATTCCTGTAGTATAAAGTACTGTTTCTTTACAAAGGGACAAAGGGACAAAGCATAGTCATTCGGATGGCGCGAAAAAGCAAGGTCCCGTGTACACATTGGCGTGCACGTAAAAGAATCCTTGACAGTTGGAATTCGATATAAGAGAAAGCGTAGAGCCGCTGTCCAGGAAAAATTTCCCTCATAGTACACTGTATGGCGTATGTCCGTCTTTTTTAGCCCAGTCAGAGCAGAAAGATAGGACGTAAAACCCAATTTCATTTCATTTCGTTTCTTTACAAAGAAAACAACAAAGAAGAATATGCAGATGTAGATAAGATTCTGCACGTATATGCACCACTGCGCATGACTTTGTTGTTTGTTTGTACACAGTTGCAAGTTGTTTTCAGCCTGGTCAAATAATTAGTGAATATAATTCCATCTGCACCCATTCAATCGGAAATTAATGGACTCTGCGGCTAACTTGTCGCTTTGCAAAAAGAAATGCAATTTGAGACAATATCGCTTTTTTGGTGAAATGGAATAAAATGGGGTTTAACGTCCTACTTATCTACAGCAACAGACCTAATAACTGAAATGGAGTTTAACGTCCTACTGTTCTGGTCCTAAACTGGGCTAATGAAGACGGGCATACGCCATACAGTGTACTATGAGGGAAATTTTTCCCGGGCAGCGGCACTATCGCCTACTCTTATATCGAATTCCAACTGTCAAGGGTTCTTTTACGTGCACGCCAATGTGTACACGGGACCTCGGTTTTTCGTCTCATCTGAAAGACTATAGACAGCTGTCCTTGTCAGCCCCTCCGCTCTGCACCGCTGACAAGGGGGAACCACGTCGGAAAATCCAGATGAACTTTCTCGGCCAATGCAGGGATCGGACACCCGACCTCCAGCCTAGCGAGCCAGCGTCTTAACCTAATAAAGCCGGACACACACCGCGCTGTGAGCTATGGGGTTATGGGAGTAAATTTGGCTCGAACAGGCTTATCTTCATCGAATTTTAAAACGGTCACAAGTTCTTTAACGTCGATTCCAACGAGTACACTGAACCTCGGTTTTTCGTCCCATCCGAATGACTAGGCGTTGTCCTTGCCATACCCCCGTCCTGCACCAATGACAAGGAGATACTACGCTGAAATTCCCCAGGATCGAACCCGGAAAATCCTGTTAAGTGTGCCAGCACCTTGTCGACTGAGACATTTCTTTTCCATGCATGTCAACAAGTTTACAGTAATTGTTCATGACTACAGGTGGTTTACGAAAATGTCTCATGCATAGGAAAAATTATGTCATAATGACCCTGAAAAATGATATTCAAATGTAAATAAAATCTTCGTCTTTGTATTTTTCCGTCAAGCAGACATGAAATGAAACGAAATTAAATGAGGTTTAACCTTCTACTGTTATGAACCACCAAGGCGAATAACTCCATGCAATGCTATAAGCGGACCAAGGGTTCTTGTGCGTGCACACCAACGTGTACACGGGACCTTGGTAAAGATTATTGAACTTGATGTGTATATTAGTCATAATATCATCATTGTGCTGAATCTAGAGCCACGCTCTCAATATTAAACATACATTATGCAAGAGCTAAATCTGCCTATTGTAGGTCTTTCTTTAGGTCTGAAATGTTATCTAAATTATTAATCAGACATTAATTAACTTATCAAGACCATAATCAACTCTCGATGGCATCGCTAGCCCGAGATGTTTATTGGATTATTTTCGGATTTGCTGTTCGACTTCCATTGATGTTTTTAACGCAAAGACTTTAGTAATGATGATCGAGGCTAGGTCGAAAATTCAGTCGCTAAAATCTCGGTTCAGAGTTGATCAATTTGACTGAAATTTTCAGCAAATTCCCTTTACATTATGTAGTTTTTAACTATTACAGTGCGAACTGTCAGCTCTTTATCTTATATCCCATAATGTATCTTTAAAGTAACACACAGACTTATAATTATGGATACAAATAAATCAAATGAAATGAGGTTTAACGTCCTACTGTTATGTACCATACAGTGTACTAAGAGGGGGAATTTTCCCCGGACAGCGCCGTTTCCAACTGCCTGTAACATGGATTTCACCGTGTAAACGCGATGTCTATTTTTCGTCCCATCCGTCCGACTAGGCAGGTGCTCCGACCTGCACCAATGACAAGGATCTATTTTTTTTCTGCCAACACCAGGATCGAACCTGGATCCTCCGGCTTAGTGAACCAGTGCCTTACTGACTGAGTCACAGTGGCAGCCTAGCTATAGATGGAGTACCTTGGTAAGTTTCATATCAGT